TATTATTATTATTATAGTATAACGGGCCCCAAGACCCTATTCTAATTATTAAGGCCCCTACATTAGATCTGTCCTGCCAGGCCACTCGGCACTTGATGTCGGTGCCAAGCCGGAGGACAGGTCGCCACAGAGAGAACCAGGGATCCGGGTGTATCGTTTTCGGGGTTCGGGGCGTAGTTGTGTTCAGGACTTGGTGCGTGTTTAGGTTCCTTTGGGCTTTGAGTTCTGCTTGTAAGTTCTTTTGTGGTGTTTCTGGAAGACGCAATCCGGTATCCGTTCACGGCACGGCATTCACCGTTTACCTGCATCTGCACAACCCGACAGGCAACGACCATGATAATCGTCACCACAGCCACCGACAGTAGGAATCCACAAGAACTACCAGGACAAATGCAACGGCAGGGGCGAACCTGAATGTCACGACAGCAACAGCAGCAAAAGCTGCCGCAGCAGCTGCAACAACCACAACAACCGCAACAACCACAACAGCAACGATTTCAGCCCCAGCACAAGCAACAAACATAGCAGGTCGTAGCACAAAGCCCTTGTTGTCATGCTCCCTTTAAAACCCTCAACCCCAACCAATAAGCCGCAAACCCTAAACCGCAAGCCCCATCAGATCTCAAGCCCAAACCGCAAACCCCTTTTAGGGTTTAGGGTTTCGGGCCTGTTTAGGGTTTCTCAAGCCCTAAACAGCAAACACCCTTTTAGGGGTTAGGGTTTCTCAAGACCTTAACCGCAAACACCCTTTTAGGGTTTAGGGTTTAGGGTTTCTCAAGACCTAAACCGTAAACACCCTTTCAGGGTCTAGGGTTTAGGGTTTCTCAAGACCTAAACCGTAAACACCCTTTTAGGGTTTAGGGTTTAGGGTTTCTCAAGACCTAAACCGTAAACACCCTTTGCCCTGAACTGGGATCTTCTCCAACTCTGCAAGGATGTCCCGCCCGAGCTGCTCAACAACTACAACGAGGCCTGCCTGGAACGATTTTGGATTTTGAGTTTGGATGAATACAGGGGCCTAAAAAAAAAACCTATATTACTTTGGGGTTCCTCATTATAACTATCGTATAACATACCCCAAAGCCCTATTCTAATTATTAAGGCCCTTATATTAGGTGTTTCGGCATTTAGGCTTGAGGCGTGGAAGTTGCAGGTTCTGAGGACTTGGAGTTTCGGTACTAGCCCCGGCACTAGGACTTCTAATCCTGAAGAGGTTTGAGGGTTTAGGGTTTAGG